AATATATATATATGCGTAGATCAAAAAAAGTACCATATGAATCACATGGGCATACGTTGACTTACAGATGTACATGTCTGCTGTAGTGTATACGTAGACATAACTCTCTGACAGCATCACGTCGCAGATCCAAACTTCTATGCAACATGCGTTACTTGCGGGCTCCAAGTAAACTCTATGGGAGCGGCGTTTTGGGTGCTTGAACAAGTAAGATAATATTGCTCTTTTGAAGCACTATACCCAAGGATGCACGTATATAATCCCCGCCAAGCAAAGTACTACTTAAACCATGGACCGTACAGATCAACACATATCCCTATACAAGCTCTACATCCCCTTCAAAACGTGACTACTTAAATCCCCTAGACCCTACATATCCCTATACCCCATGCAACACCTACAACCCCTTACCCTAAACCCTAAACCNNCCTAATATTGTTGATGGAGGAAATCTTGCGCCACCTAAAGTCCTGAGAATCCTATGAGCTACAGCAGTTTAAGGCCCCTAAGTGGTGCAAGATTGCATCCATCAACCCCTGAACGCTAAGCTCTAGACCCTAAACCCTCAGAAGTATCTCTTCCCAGGTTTTCCCAAAGAGGAAGGGGCCGTCGTCAGCGGGGAGCGGGGAGCGGACCTGGATCTGGATGAGTTAGAGTTTAGGTTTTAGGATACAGGGTTTAGGGTTTAGAGTTTAGGGTTTAGGATACAGGGTTTAGGGTTACAGTTCAGGTTTTGAATTCAAGATACAGGCTTTTCCAGCACCCACCCCCCAACTACCCTTGAACAAATGAGGCCTATGTAATTCCTGTTTGTTGGGCTGTATAGAAGGTACTTGGGACTTTTGGCTTTTGGTTTGCGGCTTGGCGTTTAAGCGCTTTTGCATTTGTATTCTTCCCTGAGGGCGCTCCTTCAAATCAGCAGGAATTGTTTGGTGTATGGATGCACCCACTGTTGACATACAGCGTGCATGTGTATGCACTTACGTCGGTCGAAACTACGATGAACCTCGAGGTGGACAATCGGATAAATTCACCCAAACAGTAACAAGGGTGGAGCCCCGCAATCTGAGTCATAGAGCTGAAAAAATGAGAGCCCCCAATCCCCCCCTCCATCAGCACTCTGGAGCTCTAATTCTATGACAGGCTTGCACTTGGGACCCACAAGACATTGAAAGTGGCTGTTTTTTGGCTGTTTGGGGCCCTAAGGACAACAACCAATATCCTAAATCCTACCCTAAGGCTCTTGGACCCTGATAATGGAGTCCGAAACCTGGGCCCCCAAAGCCCAAACCTTCCACCAGAATGCCCCAAATAGTCCTACCCTAAACCCTCAACCCTTAAACCCTAAGCCCTGACCCTAAACCCCACTAGGAGCCTAAGGCGAAGCCATCCTTACGGGAGGCCGTCCCAAGCCCTATGCCGCGCAGAACAGCTGGCTTAGCTGCAAGCAGCAGTGGCACTGGCGACACCGCGTCGACAGAAGTGAATCGACCTCCTGCGTGGGAACTTCTAGATCGAGGGATCCTAGTTTAGGGTTTAAGGCTTAGGATTTAGGGTGTAAGGTTAAGGGTTTAAGGTTTACGTAGGGTTTCAGGTTTCGGGTCTGGTCGTAGTAAGCCTTCTTATTCAGTGGAAATTCTGGGGGCAATAATAATAGGGGTTATTGGGGATAGTACTTAGACCTACTAAGTCAAAAGAACCTGACAGGTCTTACGGGCTTCTCAACATAGGGTCCCTTAAGCATATAGGCTTTGAGAAGTTTCTGAACATGGGGCTACGAGGGTCCCCCCTGAGGATCAAGGCCTTCAGACATGCGGTTTAGGGTTTAGGGGGAAGTGTCAGGTTTCCTCTCGACGCTGAGACTCTAGCTCATATCGATCCTGTTTCATGGCACCCAAAGGCTTACAGGGTCTATTTTCAGGTTCCAAGTTTGTCTGAGAAGGGTTTAGAGTTTAGGATTTAGGGTTTATTGTTTTCTTATTCAGGGCTTAGGATTTAGGGCTTATAGGGTTTAGGATTTCGTATGCGCTAGGTCCTGAGCCGGCTATCCAAGTCTGAACCCTGAAGCCCAACCTCCAGAATGCGTGGTAGCAAATTCACATGAGCTACTGTCCACATTTCCTACATAACTTAATGGACATGGGCTCCATATTAGGATCGACTTCGGATTCATCATCATGATCAGATTGGTCCTCAGAACCTGGGGACTTGTCCCGCAAGGCATCCATGTCCAGCTTGCGGGGCTTCAACGCAGACCCAGGCGCCACAGGCGCAACATCCTCCTCAACCTTGCGCTTCTAATGCGAAGGTTGCTTGCTGGAAACAGGCGTCTCCGCAAGATTGTCGCAGGCAATCTGCGGGAGATCATGGGGGCTTGACAGTAGCCCACATGAGGACCGAAAGGGCCTTAGAGGTCCACACTGTCAAAATATCAGTGAGCCATATAGTGTAAAATCCTAGTATCCCCCTGATAACGCTCATAATGCTCCCCTATTTATATATCTAATCCACTACATAAGCCCCTTTGAGGAGTTTAGACTCAAGCTCAAGTGACCCAGCAGCTTTGCACAAGCCAGCTCCGTCAAGCAGGGCTGTACACGGTTTAGGCGGTTACGGTTTCGGACTTAGGGCTTAGGCGGTTAGAGTTTAGGGTGCAGGGTTGGCAGGGGCTACCATGACAACAACCCTAAACCCTACACCCGAAACCCTAAACAGGGTTTAGGATTCAGGGTATAGGGTTTAGGGTTAAAGGTTTAGGGTTTGGGGTTCAAAACCTGAAGCTACAAATCCTGAATTCCAAGACGGCAAGCCCCGGGGTACTCAGATTGCACTCGCGGGCCTTCAAAGATATCCATATGAGGCATAGTCTTAGCTACTTCAAGGGGTACATATCATGTAAGAACTCACATGTTCACAAAAAGCCTGAAACCTTGGGTACCCAAAGGGCCAATGTAGTCATAGAGTATATTCAGGCCCTATAAGTACATACTATATACCTACAGGGATCCTTGGGGGCAGATACTCGCCCTCCACTCCAGTAGACGATAGGTTTTTACCAGTAATTTGGCTTTCTTGGTGAGCCCTTAGGACTACCTGAAGCTAAAGGGCTCACCCTAGGCCCTAAAGCCCAAATTCCTCAAAGTAAGAGATCTCTTCAGTGTTTATCTGGCAGTCCTAACATGCACCCCATGATCCTTATCATAGGGAGCCCCAAGCAGTTACCCCTGATTTTGGAAACCTACCCTAAAACCCTAATTCCTGAACCTTGAACCCTAAATCCCACACCCTAAATCCTGAACCTTGAACCCTAAATCCCACACCCTAAATCCTTGAACGCTAAACCCTAAACCTTCTGAAGTACGATGGGAAAAGAACGCTATCAACCAAAAAGGCGGCCAAGACCTCAATGTTCCTAGTTTAGGGGTTTAGGGGTTCAGGGGTTTAGGGGTTTAGGGGTTTAAGGGTTTAAGTATTAAGGCTGCAGGGGTTTAGGGTTTAGGGGGGCTTCGGGATGTAAGGGTTTAGCGGTTACGGGGCTTAAGGTTTAGGAGTTTAAGGGGTTAGGTATCCTTCTCTAAAACACCTATACTACACATATTCTTGCCCAAATCCCTGTTCTTGGACATTTGGACCCTAAACTGTAAGCCTTACGTAAAGCCTAAACCCTAATCTCTCAACCCGGACCCCTGGACCTGTATAGGCCTACACTCTGTAAATCCAAAACTCTTTAAACCTACAAACCCTAAGTCCAAAAATGAAAGCTATTCCTACACACAGTCTAAACCCTAAACAACTTAAAAAAACGGCTATAGGGTACTTGGGCCCTCGGGCGAAACGGCTTCCTGCCTTCCCCGCGCGCCGCAGTGTCGTGGCTGTGGCTGCGATCCCGGTCTGGGGCAGAAGGTTTTGGGCTTGGGCTGTGTTAAGGAATTAAAGCACGCAGTTCTGGGTTTAGGATTTGCAGTCAATAGCTTAAGATTTTGGGCTTTGGCCTTAGAGATTGAGCCCTTGTTTTTCCACGTTGAGGGCAGGGTCAGAATGAGTATTTAGTACTTCTGAAGGGTTTGAGGGTTCGGGCTTGAGGTTTAAAGGTTTTCTGAAAAGTCCTTGTTGCACGATCAACCATTTACTCCAGTAGACATCCCAACTTCAAAAGATTGGTTCCAGGTTTAGGGTTTATAGTCCTCTTTCAGTAGATAGAATATGGTGTATATGAGGATCTTACTATAATATACCCAAAGCCATATTCTATCTACTTAAGGGGGACTATAAGCCTGTTTGGAGATCACCTATTTGTTTCTGGTTGTTGAGGTCAGGTTCCCTAAGACCCACACACCCCAAACTCTCATGCTGTGTGGCTCTAGGCAGCTAGGTTTACGGATGCATGTCTAGGGTTTAGGGTTTTAGGGGTTTAGGGTTTAGGGGTTTTAGGGGTTTAGGGTTTAGAGTGTTAAGGTTTAGGGATGTTGGGCCCTAAACCCTGAAAGAGTCGGGGATTCAGGATGTATAGTCCCCCTCAAGTAGA